CGGCGGGGGGGGGGGCGCCCGCGGCCACTCGCTGCCCGCTGCCCTCCCTGTCCTCCCGCAGGCAGGCAGAGCCCGGCGGGGCGCCCGGCCTGCAGGCCCCGCACGCGGACGGGCCCGGGCCTCGAGGAGGCAGCGCCCTGGGAGAGGACAGCCGGGAGGACGCCTGGGCCTGCGGTGCTGTGCGGTAAGAGCCTCCCACCTGCTGTCCCGGGCCTGAGCTTCCCACCCAGGTGGGCCGCGGCCCCAGGAGTCAGAAAAGAAGCCACCCTCGCTGGGCTTGGCTTCCCCTGCCCCTCCTACCTTCTCCCTTCTTGCCCTTAAAGCTCCTTTCCCTGAATTCGTCTTATCTCCAAACCCCTCCAAGTGTGGTGACCTCCAGGGTCACACCTGGTGGCCCCAGGCAGGGCCACCTTTGGCAGTTTCCTTCTTCCTGTGTATTTTTTTAAAAAAAGAATTATTTTATTAACTTTATTTTAATTTGACCAGAGAGGGACAGCAAGAAAGAAAGGAGGAGAAAAAGCAAGCTGCCAGGCCTGGGACTTGAACCGCTGTTAGCCATGTGGAACTCCAGCGCCTTTAACCACCACGCCAACTGCTAGACGCCTTCCCACATCTTTCAACCCCAGTGTCTGACGTGCATGTAGCTGGTGTATTAATACCTACCGGCACAAGACCCAGCTGGTCCACATCTCCTGTATCTTCAGGAGACCCCTTCCCTTCTAGTTTAAGGGTTGTAAGGATTAGCAGATATGGCTGGCACTGTGGTGGCTCTAATCTGTGGCTCTTCCCCCACCGCCTACCTCCCTTACTCCAGCTGGCTGCCCTCCTTGTCATCCTGCAGTTCCCGAAGACTGTACCTTAAATGGGAGTGGGTGTTTTAGACACACAATAGTTTTTTGTTTTTTCTTTTTTTTTTGGAGAGGTTTTTGCTATAGGGCACGTGCATTCGCCAGAAAGAGAGACAGAGAGACAGAAAGCGAGAAATCAACCCCCCACGAGGATGGCTACGCTGCAATCCCTTCTCCTCCGTTCTCCTCCTGGGATTTTGGGCACACGCGCACGTGCGCCTGGCGTGAGTTTAAGCCACTGGGTCCGGGACTCGAACCGTGGTCGACTCCATGAGAGTCCAGCTACGTAGCCATTACGCTACCTGCTGGTCCTGACACACAATAGTTGGATATGGAAAATACTGTGTGGTCCTGTGAGCTGTTGCGTGTCCCTGAAACACGCATGGGGTGCTCACTCTGCCAACATACAAGGTTACCCCTGTGTTCAAACAGAGCACTTGTTTAGAACGAGGACAAGCAGCCTTCGTGACTCTGTTTTGGACGTTCCAAATAATTCACCGTTTCTTTTTTTGTTTTTTGGTTTTTGTTTTTTTTTTCCGATTTGCATTTCTCCTTATCAAATACCTGCTTTCCTCCCTCTGACCTCATCTTCCTGCGTTTGTCTCTGGCCTTTCTTGGTCTGTGCCCCTCCTGTCTGACTGATTTCATATTTGTACCGCACCCTGCCTCACCGTACCTCGCTTCTCCTTTCTGAACGATTTCTTCACCTCCATGAGATGGGTTGCCCCAGCTCCTGCGTTCTTTGATACCAGGGTTGAACCTTGCCCATAAACGTGCCTGTCCCACAACGTGTATAGGATTTTTTTTTTTTTTTGGAGAGGTTTTTGCTATAGGGCGCATGTGCTCGCCAGACAGACAGAGAGAGACAGAGAGACAGAAAGTGAGAAATCACCCCCCAGGGGGGATGGCCAGGCTGCAATCCCTTCTCCATTCTCCTCTCGGAATCTTGGGCATGCACGCACATGCACCCGGCGTAAGTTTAAGCCACCGGGTCCAGGACTCGAACCATGGTCGACTACGTGGGAGTCCAGGGACATAGCCATTACGCTAACTGCTGGTCCCCACATGTATAGGATTTTAAGGAAGCAGAGGAGCAGCTACCACAAAATGGGGAGAAGAACTGGGGAGAAGGATGACACCGGCCCACGTGTGTCGAACGTCCCTCACGAGGTACGGCAGATGGTCTCAACGTGGATGTGCGGGCAACAGACCCATCACTAAGACAGGACTCCTATTGGGGTGTCCCTGGTGACCTACCCTTGCCACTTTGGGTCTGTGAGCAGTGTGTGCTGTATTTTCCCCTTGATTCCTTTGGAATATCGAATGGAATTTTTTTTTTTTCAGTCTCTAAATAGTCACTGTTTATTTGCTGACCAGATTACAAAAATAATCATGGCGGATACCTTAGTTCATCCTTCTAATAAGTCTGTTGATCTGGTTTTCCCTGTTGCCAGCATCTCCACCTTCTACAACATGGGTGGTCTTTTTCTCCATTCCACCTCGTGGAGACAATCGTTTGAAGGGCCACTGGAAGTTATTTGCTTCTTTGAAGCGTTTTCCAACAGTATAGATTTCATGAATCAGATCCTCCATGCTGAGGATGCCAAATTTACCAAGAGATCGCGCAATCAAAGAGTTATCTGTCACAGCAGTCCACTTCTTATTGATTCTTGCCATAACCACGTTTGTAGATCAGTTCATTTACTGACTTCAGGTTTGGGTACCAGAAAATTTTTCTATAGGGCACGTGCGCTCTCCAGAAAGACAGAGAGAGACAGAGAGACAGAAAGTGAGAAATCACCCCCCAGGGGGGATGGCCACGCCACAATCCCTTCTCCTCCATTCTCCTCTCGGGATCTTGGGCATGCATGCCCACACGTCCAGCATGAGTTTAAGCCACCGGGTCCAGGACTCGAACCATGGTCGACTACATGGGAGTCCAGCGACATAGCCATTACGCTAACTGCTGGTCCCAATTTTTCTTTCTTTTAACAAAGGGAAAGTTAGCCAGCTTTTCTCCATCTCTCAAGACATTTCTATCTAACTGGATTTTGTTCAGGATGCACCCTTGTTATCAACCAGACAGTGCTCCCTTATATATATTTTTTTTTAAAAAGAATTATTTCTTGAATTTATGACTGTTATTATTTTAACTTGCTGTAGTCATCAGAGGAGATGGGGGTAGTGAGAAAGCAAGCTGCAAGGTCTGGAACTGGACCCATGGTTGGCCATGGGGGATAGCAATCCAGTGTCTGAACCACCATGCCACCTGCTGGCCCCACTGTGCTCACTTTTTACATTTTCTCACTTATCTGTTCTGAAAATATCAGTGAAGCAGGCGGGATATAGAAAAGGACAATCAAGTCCCGTCCTTTAGAAATTTGCAAACCAGCTTTTGTCGTGTTTATAGTGGAACAGCCTTCTCTACCAGTTGACAGTGGCGGTTTTCATTAACTTCTCTTTACCATTTGATGTAAGATGTTTATCTCACATGTACATTTCTGCCTTAGTTGAGCAGGCTACATAGCTGAAAGGAGCTTGCAAGTCCATCAGGAGGCTTATAAAATATAAATAACTGGGCCTTAGTCTCATCCTACTGAATCGGAGTCTGAGGTATTTTTTTCTCCTACTTTTTTTTTTTTCCCAGTTGCCAAAGGCATGTGTGCGAGAGAGAGAGAGAGAGAGAGAACACACACACCAGCTCTTCAGTGGGGCATGATCACACCACAGTCCTTTTTCCTCCATTTCTCCTTCCTGTCAAAACTTTGGTGGGGAACCAGCAGTTAGCATAATGGCTATGTCGCTGGACTCCTGCGTAGTCGACCGTGGTTCGTGTCCCGGACCTGGTGGCTTAAACTCACGCTGGGCGCGTGTGCGTGTGTGCCCAAGATCCCGAGAGGAGAATGGAGGAGAAGGGATTGCGGCGTGACCATCCCCCCTGGGGGTGATTTCTCGCTTTCTGTCTCTATGTCTCTTTCTGTCTGTCTGGTGAGCGCATGCGCCCTATAGCGAAAACCTCTCCAAAACAAAAAACAAAAAACTTTGGGCACACACGCTCACGTACTTGAAATGTTTTTCAAGCTGCTGGGCCTGGAAATTCAGGCTGTAGCTAGCCATATGGGATCTGGCTCTCTCAACCATTGAGCTAGGGGGACAGCCCTGTCAGATGTTTTGATCTTGGGCATGGACCCATAGGCCAGACATATTTTTAAGCTGACAAGGCTAGAACCTGAGCCCTGGTTGGCCATGTGGGGTCTGACTTTTTTTGTGTAGTGTTTAGCCACTGCATTATGGGGTCATCACAGAGAATTAATTTTATGCATTTTATTTTTATAAAACCTCCAAAGAAAGACAATCTGCAGTCTCCCTTACAAAGTTCAACTGTCTTCCCTATTAGGTGAATAAATTCTCATGCAGTGGGGTCAGCAGATGGCGTAGTGGTTACGAATCTGGACTCCCACACGTGCCCGGCGTGAATTTTAAGCCACCGGGTCCGGGACACGAACTGCGTTCGACTACAATGGGAGTCCAGCGACATAGCCATTACACTAACCGCTGGTCCCTACATGCCATTATTTTTAACAGAAGATGAGGATGAAACCATAAATGATGGTAGAAGCCTGTTTCCTGAAGCATAGTTGTTAGCGAGTTGATAATGGTTTGATAACAGAAAACTGGGTGCTCCTCAGAGACAGGGGTATTATCCTTGTAAGAGGAGGGGGGCCATGAAGCTTTCTTTGTGCCTTTTGTATGTTAGCCCAAAGCGCATGTAAAATTACTTGAGCTTTTTAAATCTTCTTGATGTTTAGTGTATCCTAAAACAAATGTTGTTTTAGAATTTATCGCACTGGAATTTGGATTCAGAAGTGCCTGTTCCTGAGAATAAAAGCCTCCCACCTGGAAGGGATAGTGCAGCAGGTGATAAAAATCCCAGATGTGTACGTCTATGCTGAAATGACTCATGTTAAAGGGGGTTTGTTTCAGATAGAACCAGTGTCGTGTAACTATTAATGGTCACTCTTCTTCCATACACATTCTTCCAGGCAAAATGAACAAGGTAAGGATAAATATTTGGTTTTAAATCATTCATAATACATAGTGTTTTAAAATGATATGTATGTTCTTTAAAAGATTTTCCTTCCTCAAAGTTAAACTTTAAATGTCATTGCTATAGAGTTCTTCAAACAGGTCAAAGCCTTTACTGTTTTCCAGGGCTGCAAGTTGGTCATTAAATGAGTACTTTGCTAATTACATTTTTTTCATTATAATAATACTGTAAGTGGAAATTGACCCTGTAGTGAATAGAGTGTTTTCTAGTCATTGCCAAAAGGAAGTAATCTTGGTCTTTAAGTCATCTTGAAGCAACTGAACTGGTCAATATCTTGTTTTGAAGAAGTGGAAAACTAATCTTTTCATTTACCTTTTTGATCAAAATGTAAGACACTTAACTATTAAAAAAAAAGAGACAATCTTAATGATATTCCAAGCTTGTTAGCAACACTTAGTTGGTATTTATAATAGAATACATTTAATTCTGCTGAAATCACACATTTTTTTAGTTGAATAAAGTTATTGGCCTTTAGGGGGACCAGCAGTTGGTGTAATGGCTATGTTGCTGGACTCTAATGTAGTCAACTGCGGTTCGAGTCCTAGACCTGGTGGCTTAAACTCACGCCAGGCACATGTGCGTGAGTGCCCAAGACCCTGAGAGGAGAATGGAGAAGGGATTGCGGCATGGCCATCCCCCCTGGGGGGTGATTTCCCGCTTTCTGTCTCTCTCTGTCTGTCTGGCAAGCGCACGCGCCCTATAGGAAAAAATAAAAAGTTATTGGCTTTTATATTCCTTGATTAGAATAAGAATTATATGAGGGGATTTCAAAAAGCTTATGGAATAATGTAATTAAAATATAAAAAATGTAAACTTTATTTCTCAATATAAGCTCCAAGATCAAGACGCTTTTGTAAGTGATGACACCGGCCACTTAGTCTATCCCTGGAGAACTAACGGCCCTGCGAATTTAACGGTATCAATGCAGTCTTTATTTTTTTTTCCTTAGGACTTTTTCTTTTGTTTGCCATCAGGCATATACATACGCTCACCAGTGAGAGACAGAGAGGGAAAGTGAGGAATCACTCCCAAAGGGGGTGATGTTCATAGCACAGTCCCTTCTTTTCCATTCTCCTTTGGGATTTTGGGCACACACGTGTGTCTGGCGTGATTTTCAAGCTGCTGGGTCCAGGACGCAAACCGTGGTTGGCCAAGTGGAAGTCCAGCACCTTAACCACTATGCCACCTGCTGGCCCTCAAAGTAGTCTTTTTAACATTATTAACTTGGGGGGGGGAAGTGGGTGCCCATTAAAAGAAACAAACATCAGAAGAAGCCAAGTCAGGACTGTGATGTGAGTGCCCAATGCTGGCCCATGGAGACTCTTGCTAAACTGCCCTTGTTTGATGAGGAATGAAGAGCATTGTCATGGAGAAGGACTCTCTGATGGGTTTTCTTGGCCATTTTTCTGATAATGTTTTTGCCAACTTTCTCCACTCTCATCATAAGCAGATGTTCTCCTTCAGCCTTTCAGAAAAGTCAACAAGCAAAATGCCTTGAGCATTCCAAAAACCTGTTGCCATGACCCTAGCTCCTGACAGATCTGCTTTTGCTTTGGCTGGGTCATTTCCAACTCTCTTGGCCACTATTACTTCGTGTTTTGTCTTCAGTATTGTCCTGTTACACCTACGGGTCGTCTCCTGGTACAGCTCTTCAAATACTTTGGAATCTTCATCCCACTTGTTTACAATTTCTATTGAAAGCGCTGATCTTGTCTGCCGCTGATCTGGCTCCAACAATTTTGGCATCCAGTGAGCAGAAGGTTTGCTCCACGTGAATTTGTGTAAGAAAAATGGTGTAAGCTCAACCATTTGAAACGTCCATGGTGTTGGCTGTTGTTTATTGTCAGTCCTCTTCAGTTAGGACACAAACAAGACTAAATTTTTTTTTTCTGGCGAATTGATATGATCAGCTGCTACAGGCATCATGTTTAATATAGTCTCATCCCTTCTTAAAATGAATTACTTGGAAACTGCTGATTTCTTTGGGGGCATTGTCCCCATAAGCTATTTATTTATTTATTTATTTATTTATTTATTTATTTATTGCCCTAGGGTGCATGCGCTCACCAGACAGAGAGAGACAGAGAGATAGAAAGCGAGAAATCACCCCCCAGGGGGGATGGCCACGCCGCAATCCCTTCTCCTCC